GTTTGCCCATATAGTGGCTGCATTATTCCGTTGTAATGTGGTAAATGTGGTTATTAAAAGAGAAGTTTGGGAATTGAAAAAAAAAAAAACTTCCACCCAGTTGGATGCAGCATTGGTCTGTTGCTGTATATCTATCCCCCGCAGCCCCAATGAATGAAAACTGAGAGATCAAAGGCTCCTCATTGCTAGGTTCTCAGTCTTCAGTTAGTGAGCCAGTGACTTTCAGTCCAAGGCATTCTGGACTGTGAAAGGGGCAGGAGCAGCTGGTTCAGGCTCTTATTGGCATACTGAACAGCTAAGCCCGCTGCTGGTCCAGGCATCTGGGTGGATCTCGATATTAACGTTGTGATCTCTCCAGAGCCTGGATTGGCACAGTGATGTTAGCCCACTGTCACTTGGATCTGGTTCACAGGAGTGTGGAACTAAGTGCACTCCTGTGCCCACAGGAAAAGTAGGGCCAAAGGAGCTTTAGCCCTGTTTCTCCTTTAACTTTTCTCAGAAATTATTGAAAAGTTATACAAAGCACTTCAGTGAGCCCTAGGGGGGAAGAGCAGATAGGCAGTAACTTACAGGTCACCGCTCTCTGCTTGGAGTGGCAGGGAGAACTGAGCAATCGGTGGTGCCTGATTGCTCAGTTAGAGCCGGTAGGGGGACAGGAGTATAATAAAAAAAAAAAAAACATATTCCCATACTTCTCTTTTAAGCACTCTGGTAATCACTTGCTTGTTGAAACCTACAATGTTTCATTATAAGATGATTATATTGGTCACAGCGATAATGGAACTCAGACTAAGAACTGCTTTAAAAGATTAATTAATTACATAATTTTTAGGTGGAATATTAAACAAGCTTGATAGGTTTTAAAGAGTATATCAAATCGCTTTTTGGAGTTTTAGATAGGAGGAGTTAGAACATGCATCAAGTTTTTATTGTTGTGTCTCTGCTGGGAAGGTTCACACTTTCTATGGTCCTGGTGACCATCATGACATAGATTGACTGGAAATCCAAAGTTTTCACTGGAACAGGTGGTAAAAGAAAATCTTCTACTGGAAACACCTGTTCCAGTAACAGTTGTCAAAGTGGAGAGATTTCTACTCACTTCCTGCTGTGTCTCCACCAGTATCTCCCTAATAGTACAGGGTATCTAACTTTCTTTTTTTTGGTCTAAAACAAAAAAAAATGGCTAAACATACACTGTAAATGACAAAAACAAGACATGTGCAAAGCATAATTTAAAAAGAATGGCGTGGAATTACAACCTATGTCAAGTTTTTATTGCTGGCTGTTTCCCTGTTCTGATGACCATTGTCACTGGGACTGAAAATGATGGAAAATGGAAAATTTTAAGTTATCACCAAAACTGAAATAGAGTGGAAATTTTCCAATGGTTCAATGACAATGTCTAAGAGAGCATTTACCTCAATTTGGAGAGATTTTTTTTCTCATGCTGTGTCTATAGGACAAGAGATAAAAGGAAAGCTTCCCAATGGGACACAGATGACAAAAAAAACTTACTAGGGCTTGTAACCATTCCATAGTCTATCAAAATACCAGTTTTAAGCTTCAAATATGATTTAATTATAAGAGAGCGATTTGTACTTTATCTTACTTTGAACAGCTATATAGGCAACCTGTATGCATAAATGAGAACAAATGTTGTTAAAAATTGTTTTCAGGTACCACCAATGGCCAGGCATTAAGGAAGATTCCAACTTCCCTATTTTGAGGGAAGCGTCTGGATTCACATGGATGCTTCTAGCATCAGGTATATTGCATTATTAATGTAAACAAAGAAGTAATACCAGCAGAGACAGATGTTTCATTTTGAAGTTGTCATGAGAAAAACGCATGGACTGAATTGCTGGTTTCTCGCATCTGAAAATGCAAGTTACCTGACTTTATTACCACTGAGACACAGAAATGGAAAATGCATTTCTATAATTTTATTAAATCAGTAGCTCAGTACTGAAGCCACAGCATTACCATGACAGGCAACTAGTATTTTCAGAAGGAGAGGTCAACAGTGGCCATCTATATATTTCTCTTATGATGGGTGTCTTCAATGTGAAAAATCCTACTGTTGTTATAGGCGATGAAGGGGGGGGGGGGGTCATCCTTGCTATCCTTCAGTGTCTCTCCAGGCTCTCCCCTCTTGGCAGGGAGCTTGACACCTATACCAATCATCTCTATGGTATAGGAAACCAGAAGCAACAAGTATTTAGTCACTTCCGGTTTCCCTGGATGTAAACCGTGCCATTTTTAAACTGGGAAAGCATCTGATCATACCAGGGGGGACGGACTGAGAACTCATGGGGCCCCTGTGTCCTTGCCCAAACTCAAAAAAACCTATAAAAAGGTACCAGGGGCATCTCATGGGGCCCCCTACTGACCCCGGGCCCTCGGGCAGTGCCCGAGTTTCCAAATGGTCAGTCCGCCCCTGGATCACACCAATCTTGGTGTGATCAGGAGGTGCTTTTATGGGCAGAGGAGACATCTGGGGTCTAATAGACTCCAGATCTCTCTATAAAGAGGAACTGTCACTGTTGAATGTCATCATAAGAGATTTTGTATTCCTTGTGACAGCAATAAAAGTGATTTAAAAAATTTCAAGAGACAGTGTAAATGTAAAAAAGAAAAATGTAAAATGCCCTCATGTTCCCGTGCTTGTGCGCAATGGTGAACACAAGTGTTGGTCTTGCATGCATCACATCACACACATGTGAGGTATTGCCACAAACATCAGAATGAGTGAAATAATTCTAGCACCAGACCTTCATGTGTAACTCTAAACTGGTAACCTGTAAAATCTTTTAAAGCCTCGCACATGGAGATATTTAAATACCATAGTTAGGTGCCATACCTCGAGCATACGCAATTTAAAGCGTGGTATGTTGCGTATCTATTTACTCGGTGTAACAACATTTTTTATATTTTACAAAGAAAAAATGGGTATTACATTGTGTTTGTGTGCATTAAAATTCATTAAATTGTATTGTTTTGCAATTTATCCTAGTGTTGACCTTTATCATTCAATCATGTGCATTAAAAAATCCTGTTTTCTTTTTCTTTTTTTTTTGCATATGGGAATTCTTTGCAAAGTGAACTTTCATTACATTTATTAAGTTAAGGTAAAAAATCCCTTTCAGAGAGAGCATGTTCTACTCATATAGTAAATCAAACTGCTTTATCTCTGATCTGAGTTTTGTGAAATCTCAAATTAAGTTAAAAAAAAGTTACCTAAAGATATATGAAGATGTATATGATGCGGGAATCTTACCTTAATGAGTTTGTCTCCAGGGAAAATTATAATATTTAAGTAATTCTTGAAAACGCCATTCCAAGCCTTATTAGCAAAAGATGTACTGTATTTGCCTCCTATTCCTGATTATAGTTCATTTAATTCCTTTTAATTTAGTCAACGTAGAATAATGTTTAGATGTCAATTTTCATCTCCTGGGAATAAGATTTCTAAAATGTGCTTTCAAATGACATTGCTTTCATTCTGAACCATTTAGCTGAAGAACATTTAATCTAAAACCATTAATAGTAAGCTAATGTACATATTTAACCTTTTTTGGCCTAAGATCTGCAATCTAATTTATAAGTAAATTCTATTATACATATAACTAATAATTAATAGGTCTGGATATGAGACTAAATACTTTCAACCAGTGTTTACCAACAGTAGTATCGCAATATACTAGTTCAGGTCTGCATATCAGGTTGAATGATTACTGTAATTATATGATATCATGGTCACCTCCTTAATTGTGCAATTGTTACTATAGCAAAAAACTATCCTCCAATACATGTGGGGGACTTTAAGAGCTGGATAATGAATATGGCCGAGGTTCTGTTTTCACTGCTATTATAGGTCTGCACTCCACTCAATACAGCGGGTTTGAAATTTGTGTTCCCAACCAATTCATGCGTAAGTTTAACAAACAAAACATTTTCCAGATCCAATTCTTAGTAACTATTGCATTTCCTGGCATTTCCTCGAAGTTAGGTCAGTTGGCTTAGAAGGACCAATAAAAGGGTTTTTGGATAAGCCAGACCCCTCCATATGAAAGCCGTGAAGACATTGTGCTTTTTTGGCAATAAGCAAATTATACAGATTTTATTATTTTTTTAGTAAACTAAAAAGGTAAAGTTTGAAGATAATATTTATAAAGAAGTTAATCTGGCATTCATCACACATTCTCAGCAGGTGACTTTTCCTAATTTCCTAAGGGCATTCATTTTCCTAATTTCATAAGGGTAAGTTGTCTAATTGTAGCTAGCTGCATTTACTCAATTGTTTTTTTTTTTTTTCCACAGGCCTTTTTCTAACCATTTCAGCACTAGACTGTAATACCCCTTTAAAACCAGGTCATGTTTCAGCTTTCTGTTCTGTTAAAGTTTGACTCAAAATTACTTGGCTATGCAAAACTGTACCTAAATTAATTGTATACCTTTTTTATTTTGCACATATTTAATAACAGTCGTATTTTATTATACTAGATACTAGATTATACATATTTGAAATACTAGAAATTATGAAAAAAAACTGTTTTCTCTTACTACTCACTATGGGAGCATAGATTTCCCAATGATTAAGCTCCAGGGATAGAGTGAAATGCGTTGGGGGTGTGGCCTGGTTGGAGCCTAGAGTGAGGCTGTTTTACACCTCCTCACAGGGTTTTGCTGGGATGTGTTACTTTTAGGACCTAATTTCCTCACTATGTAGAGCAATTTAATAAGCTTTTTAGCATTAGATTTTGCTTGTACTAATCTAAGTAGCTGGGTTATAGTAAGAGATGGGAGCCTACAAGGCTGTCAGAATGTTGCAGTCCTTACAACTCAAACCTGACTTGTGCATATTATTGATTGCTTAATTATGTTGTCCTGTCTGTAGTCATAAGGGACTGCACTGTGTTTGCTACTGGTTAACAGTCATTTTATTATTTTACAAATCAGAAAAAAAGTTATTTTCATAAAAATAAGTATTTAAAGTGTTACTAAACCCACAACAGAAAAATCAGTCTGTATATGCAGTAAAGCATGATTGTTATACTTACTGTGGAACCTAAGGGGTTAATCCACTGCATTGTGTAAAAACACTGTCTGATCCAGGTTTCTCTGATCCTCCCCTTCTTCCAGTGCCCCTTTCATATCTCCTGATAAGACATATATTGTGTGGAGACACTGCACATGCTCAGTTTGGTGTGTATTGCTAGAGTTTTTTTTTCTTGGGAGAGTGCATGTGATCAGCACAGTGCCAATCAGCAGAGCCGAGACAGAGGTCAGAGGTTCTGTATCCTCCTAGAGAAAACTCCTCCTACAAACTTTAACTAGTGCTCTGCTGAACACTGATAGAATTCACAAGACTGCTCTAACTGCTGTTGAGAAAAGGTATTTAGCAGTATATATTTTCTAAAATGATTGCATTTCCATATTGTGTGTACTGTGGGAGACCAGATATAGTGAATGCAGTGTCCTGGGTTTAGTAATACTTTAACTATTGAATCTAAGAATGTATTCTGTAATGTTTATTGTGTATGGATGAACTTACCCTTTAAATGGTGACAATACTGAAATAATGCCTAGGCATCAGCAAATTTCCTGTGGTAGACCCTGACACAGAGTGATTTACAGACAGGAGGCTGTGGAAGGCACGGGAAGAGCATTGTTACCACATAACACAAACAGCCCAGGCAAAAAAAAAATTTTTTATCTGTTGTCACCGCATACTGCAACACAAAGGGGTTGCAAATGAATATGAAGTGAAGCACTGCTATATTCTATGGTCCAATTATGTGCAACCAAAAATGCTGTTGTTTAATGTTCCTTGCACATGATTGGGTATTCTTTATAAAGTGAAACTTCACAACATTCACTAAGCTCTAGAGCAAAGTCCTCTGCAAACTGCATCTTCCCTTGTAAAGTGAACAGTCGATTTGCCTTTAGTAAATCGAACCCAAAGTTCTCAAACATGGACATTTTATCAATATCATTAGCTGTCATTTTTATGACAGCTAACGATTTAAAGCAAAGACTTTCAAAATGATATTATCAGGTTAAAACTTATAGTGATTGGTTTACATCTACTTTACAACAAACTTGCTTGAGTTCTTGAATTGAATTGCAGTGCTGGTGTACATTATCTTTAGAGATGAGCGAATTATTCAAAAATTTGATTCGACTGATTCGGCGAATTCGTGAAAAAATTTTGATTCGAGTCGAATATATTCGCTGCGAATTTAACTTATAAAAGGGTGTTTCTAGGCTTCAGAGAGCCTTTATATTAGTGCAGAACACTGTACCTTTAATTTAAATGCCCTTGGAGTCTGCTGGGGAAGAGAAATAATACTGTCAGTCAGTATGACATGCAGATGAGTGCCGTCGATCTTAGAATCACCGCACACTTCACTCATTTGGGCAGTCACGGGGCCAAAACCAGAGTGTGGAGCCACAGTGTGGCGGTGGAGGCAGCAGCAATGGGAGGCCATACAGCACCCTATGACAAAATGGAACCCACCAGCAGTGTGAGGAGACCTGAAAGTGGCACATGGCAGAGTGTGGCGATGGAGACAGCAGCAATGGGAGGCGGTACAGGGACCCATGACACACTCTGGACCTGGCAGCAGCATGAGGAGGCGGTACAGGGGCCCATGACAGATTACGGGCCTGGCAGCAGCATGAGGAGTTGGTACGGGGGCCCATGGCAGAGATTACGGGCCTGGCAGCAGCAATGGGAGGCCGTACAGGGACCCATGACACACTCTGGACCTGGCAGCAGCATGAGGAGGCGGTACAGGGGCCCATGACAGATTACGGGCCTGGCAGCAGCATGAGGAGTCGGTACGGGGGCCCATGACACACTCTGGACCTGGCAGCAGCATGAGGAGGCGGTACAGGGGCGCATGACAGATTACGAGCCTGGCAGCAGCAACTTGGACAGGAGGACGTTCAGCTTCTGCACCGTCGGGTGCGTGCTCGCAAACTGTTGTCTCTTGGAAACGGATTCCAAGAAAGACTGCTGACAGAATCCGTGAAGAGGAGTAGCAGGAGAAGGAGCATCTGAACGAGCGGAATATGCCAACAAGCGACAACAGGGGCCCATGACAGATTACGGGCCTGGCAGCAGCATGAGGAGTCGGTACGGGGGCCCATGGCAGATTACGGGCCTGGCAGCAGCAATGGGAGGCCATACAGCACCCTATGACAAAATGGAAACCCACCAGCAGTGTGAGGAGACCTGAAAGTGGCACATGGCAGAGTGTGGCGATGGAGACAGCAGCAATGGGAGGCGGTACAGGGACCCATGAGACACTGTGGACCTGGCAGCAGCATGAGGAGGCGGTACAGGGGCCCATGGCAGATTAAGGCCTGGCAGCAGCAATGGGAGGCCCGTAATCTGCCAGCACCCTATGACAAAATGGAACCCTGGGCTGGGGCAGGCAGAACCGCCGTATCTTTATCACGGTTTTCCCAGGCCACCGAATGGCGACGCTGCATATGCTGACGCAACGCTGTAGTCCCAACATGGGCCCCCTGGCCACGCTTGACTTTCTGGCCACATAGTCGACATACGGCTACGTTTACTTCCTCGGGCGGCTCCAGCACCCGGCGTTGACGAAAAATTGCCACACCGCCGAGTAGGAAACTTTGCCCCCGCTACTCCTCACTGGCTGACTGCTACTTCCTCTGTGCACACCGGCACCACTACTGGCCGTGGTGGTAGGCTGCAGTGGAGTGGTGGTGCTCTACTCCGTGGCCGTTTGCCTCCACTGACACTGCTGCGACCCTGCTGCCTCCTGGCAGCAGCAGCATACATGGGGAGGAAGAGGCGGTACAGGGGCCCATGGCAGATTAGGGGCCTGGCAGCAGCAATGGGAGGCCCGTAATCTGCCAGCACCCTATGACAAAAAATGGAACACACCAGCAGTGTGTGAGGAGACCTGAAAGTGGCACATGGCAGAGTGTGGCGATGGCGATGGAGACAGCAGCAATGGGAGGCCGTACAGGGACCCATGAGAGACTCTGGACCTGGCAGCAGCATGAGGAGGCGGTACAGGGGCCCATGGCAGATTAGGGGCCTGGCAGCAGCAATGGGAGGCCCGTAATCTGCCAGCACCCTATGACAAAAAATGGAACACACAGCAGCAGTGTGAGGAGACCTGAAAGTGGCACATGGCAGAGAGTGTGGCGATGGAGACAGCAGCAATGGGAGGCCGTACAGGGACCCATGCAGACTCTGGACCTGGCAGCAGCATGAGGAGGTACAGGGGCCCATGGCAGATTAGGGGCCTGGCAGCAGCTATGGGAGGCCCGTAATCTGCCAGCACCCTATGACAAAAAATGGAACACACCAGCAGTGTGAGGAGACCTGAAAGTGGCACATGGCAGAGTGTGGCGATGGAGACAGCAGCAATGGGAGGCCGTACAGGGACCCATGAGACACTCTGGACCTGGCAGCAGCATGAGGAGGCGGTACAGGGGCCCATGGCAGATTAGGGGCCTGGCAGCAGCAATGGGAGGCCCGTAATCTGCCAGCACCCTATGACAAAAAATGGAACACACCAGCAGTGTGTGAGGAGACCTGAAAGTGGCACATGGCAGAGTGTGGCGATGGAGACAGCAGCAATGGGAGGCCGTACAGGGACCCATGAGAGACTCTGGACCTGGGCAGCAGCATGAGGAGGCGGTACAGGGGCCCATGGCAGATTAGGGGCCTGGCAGCAGCAATGGGAGGCCCGTAATCTGCCAGCACCCTATGACAAAAAATGGAACACACCAGCAGTGTGTGAGGAGACCTGAAAGTGGCACATGGCAGAGTGTGGCGATGGAGACAGCAGCATGGGGAGGCCGTACAGGGACCCATGAGAGACTCTGGACCTGGCAGCAGCATGAGGAGGCGGTACAGGGGCCCATGGCAGATTAGGGGCCTGGCAGCAGCTATGGGAGGCCCGTAATCTGCCAGCACCCTATGACAAAAAATGGAACACACCAGCAGTGTGTGAGGAGACCTGAAAGTGGCACATGGCAGAGTGTGGCGATGGAGACAGCAGCAATGGGAGGCCGTACAGGGACCCATGAGACACTCTGGACCTGGCAGCAGCATGAGGAGGCGGTACAGGGGCCCATGGCAGATTAGGGGCCTGGCAGCAGCAATGGGAGGCCCGTAATCTGCCAGCACCCTATGACAAAAAATGGAACACACACCAGCAGTGTGAGGAGACCTGAAAGTGGCACATGGCAGAGTGTGGCGATGGAGACAGCAGCAATGGGAGGCCGTACAGGGACCCATGAGAGAGACTCTGGACCTGGCAGCAGCATGAGGAGGCGGTACAGGGGCCCATGGCAGATTAGGGGCCTGGCAGCAGCTATGGGAGGCCCGTAATCTGCCAGCACCCTATGACAAAAAATGGAACACACCAGCAGTGTGTGAGGAGACCTGAAAGTGGCACATGGCAGAGTGTGGCGATGGAGACAGCAGCAATGGGAGGCCGTACAGGGACCCATGAGAGACTCTGGACCTGGCAGCAGCATGATGAGGAGGCGGTACAGGGGCCCATGGCAGATTAGGGGCCTGGCAGCAGCAATGGGAGGCCCGTAATCTGCCAGCACCCTATGACAAAAAATGGAACACACCAGCAGTGTGTGAGGAGACCTGAAAGTGGCACATGGCAGAGTGTGGCGATGGGAGACAGCAGCAATGGGGCCGTACAGGGACCCATGAGAGACTCTGGACCTGGCAGCAGCATGAGGAGGCGGTACAGGGGCCCATGGCAGATTAGGGGCCTGGCAGCAGCTATGGGAGGCCCGTAATCTGCCAGCACCCTATGACAAAAAAATGGAACACACCAGCAGTGTGTGTGGAGGAGACCTGAAAGTGGCACATGGCATGAGCAGAGTGTGGCGATGGAGACAGCAGCAATGGGAGGCCGTACAGGGACCCATGAGAGACTCTGGACCTGGCAGCAGCATGAGGAGGCGGTACAGGGGCCCATGGCAGATTAGGGGCCTGGCAGCAGCAATGGGAGGCCCGTAATCTGCCAGCACCCTATGACAAAAAAATGGAACACACACCAGTGTGTGTGTGAGGAGACCTGAAAGTGGCACATGGCAGAGTGTGGCGATGGAGACAGCAGCAATGGGAGGCCGTACAGGGACCCATGAGAGACTCTGGACCTGGCAGCAGCATGAGGAGGCGGTACAGGGGCCCATGGCAGATTAGGGGCCTGGCAGCAGCTATGGGAGGCCCGTAATCTGCCAGCACCCTATGACAAAAAATGGAACACACCAGCAGTGTGAGGAGACCTGAAAGTGGCACATGGCAGAGTGTGGCGATGGAGACAGCAGCAATGGGAGGCCGTACAGGGACCCATGAGAGACTCTGGACCTGGCAGCAGCATGAGGAGGCGGTATAGGGGCCCATGGCAGATTAGGGGCCTGGCAGCAGCAATGGGAGGCCCGTAATCTGCCAGCACCCTATGACAAAAAATGGAACACACCAGCAGTGTGAGGAGACCTGAAAGTGGCACATGGCAGAGTGTGGCGATGGAGACAGCAGCAATGGGAGGCCGTACAGGGACCCATGAGACACTCTGGACCTGGCAGCAGCATGAGGAGGCGGTACAGGGGGCCCATGGCAGATTAGGGGCCTGGCAGCAGCTATGGGAGGCCCGTAATCTGCCAGCACCCTATGACTATGAAAAAATGGAACACACCAGCAGTGTGTGAGGAGACCTGAAAGTGGCACATGGCAGAGTGTGGCGATGGAGACAGCAGCAATGGGAGGCCGTACAGGGACCCATGAGAGACTCTGGACCTGGCAGCAGCATGAGGAGGCGGTACAGGGGCCCATGGCAGATTAGGGGCCTGGCAGCAGCAATGGGAGGCCCGTAATCTGCCAGCACCCTATGACAAAAAATGGAACACACCAGCAGTGTGAGGAGACCTGAAAGTGGCACATGGCAGAGTGTGGCGATGGAGAGAGACAGCAGCAATGGGAGGCCGTACAGGGACCCATGAGACTCTGGACCTGGCAGCAGCATGAGGAGGGCGGTACAGGGGCCCATGGCAGATTAGGGGCCTGGCAGCAGCAGCAGCAATGGGAGGCCCGAATCTGCCAGCACCCTATGACAAAAAATGGAACACACCAGCAGTGTGAGGAGACCTGAAAGTGGCACATGGCAGAGTGTGGGCGATGGAGACAGCAGCAATGGGAGGCCGTACAGGGACCCATGAGAGACTCTGGACCTGGCAGCAGCATGAGGAGGCGGTACAGGGGCCCATGGCAGATTAGGGCCTGGCAGCAGCAATGGGAGGCCCGTAATCTGCCAGCACCCTATGACAAAAAATGGAAACACACCAGCAGTGTGTGAGGAGACCTGAAAGTGGCACATGGCAGAGTGTGGCGATGGAGACAGCAGCAATGGGAGGCCGTACAGGGACCCATGAGACACTCTGGACCTGGCAGCAGCATGAGGAGGCGGTACAGGGGCCCATGGCAGATTAGGGGCCTGGCAGCAGCTATGGGAGGCCCGTAATCTGCCAGCACCCTATGACAAAAAATGGAACACACCAGCAGTGTGAGGAGACCTGAAAGTGGCACATGTTTGGGGCATGATTCATGGCGGATTTAGTCAGTTGTGTCAGGTGGTTTGAAATCCAGACTAATCCACGCCTGATTCATTGTGTCAGGAACTGGTGGTTTGAAATCCAGACTAATCCACGCCATTTTCACAAACGTGAGTCTCTCCACACTTTGGGTGGACAGTCGTGTCCTCCGCGGAGTTACAATACCTCCTGCCGCACTAAACACGCGCTCCGATGCCACGCTACTGGCCGGGCATGACAGCCTTTCAAGGGCAAATTCAGCTAGTTGGGGCCAAAGGTCAAGTTTCGTTGCCCAGTAGTCAAGGGGATTGTCTACCTCGGTTGGCAGGGTGCTGTCCAAGTAGGCCCAAGCCTGTTGTTTGAGGTCCTGCTCCAGGTCCACCTGATGCTGCTGCTGCTGCTGCTGCGGCTGGTTAGTAGTTTCCTCACTGCGCTGGTGAAGAAAGCTACTCATCATCGACTGCAGACTGAGGCAGCCGCTGCTGGTGGAGCTGCCACTGCTCCTACCACCCCACCCCTCCCCTGCTGCCATGGCAGCGGAACGAACGCGAGCGCACAGGGCCCACAGTGTCTGAGGATGGACGTTGGCGCACAAAGGCAGAGACCAACTGACTACATAGGTGGTTTTTATAGTACGTTATTTTGGCCTCCCTCTCAGCAGGTGTGAAAAAGGCCACCATTTTTGAACGGGTAGCGAGGGTCCAACAAGGTGGACAGCCAAAAGTCATCCCTCTGTCTGATGGTTATTATTCGGCTGTCGCTACGCAAGCAACCGAGCATGCTATGGGCCATTTGTGCCAAGGAATGCGAGGGACTCCCTGCCTCCATCTCCACAGCATACTGCCACGGTGCGTCTGGGTCCTCTGTCTCCTCCTCCTCCTCCTCTACCAGATGCTCCTGCTCCTCCACTCCTGTCCGCTGAGTGGAAAAAACCACCCATTTCACTCAATAATTCCTGAGCACAAATGTCCTCCTCTACCTCCTCCTCTTCTTCCTGTCCTGCCCCCACAGGGGTCATGTGGCGTTGAGATCTGTGCGCCACGTCTACCGCACCCTGACCAGCCATTGTTAACAGCATTTGTTCCAGGACGTGCAACAGAGGAATGACGTCGTTCATCCCATAGTCCTGCCGACTCACGAATAGCGTGGCCTCCTCAAAGGGCCTGAGCAAGCGGCAGGTGTCACGCATGAGCTGCCAATGGCTGACATCGAAGTTACACAGGGGAGAGTACCTTTATCCGCTTGTAACATCAGGAAATCGGTGATGGCCTTTCGCTGTTCGTAAAGGCGGTCTAACATGTGTAGGGTTGAATTCCACCTTGTTGCAACGTCGCAGATCAGGCGATGCTGTGGAATTCCGTTCTGCCGCTGCAGCTCAAGGAGGGTGTGCTTTGCGGTGTAGGAATGGCTGAAATGCATGCAAAGTTTACGTGACATTTTAAGGATGTCTTGCAGTGGGATGGTGGATTTTAGGAACCGCTTGACAACCAGATTGAACACGTGAGCCATGCATGGCGCATGGCACAACCTTCCTTGACGCAGAGCAGACACCATGTTCTTTCCGTTGTCGGTCAACATGGTTCCGATTTTCAGTTTGCGCGGAGACAGACAGCCATCTGTCGATTTCTCTGTTCATTACACTCAGAAGTTCCTCCCCTGTGTGACTACGTTCGCCAAGGCATACCAGGTGCAGCACAGCGTGACACCGTTGCGCCCTGCACATGTGATATGCCGGTCGGGTAATGGGACTTGGCACGGGGGTGGCGGCTGAGGACACGGCGGAAGAAGAGGTGGTAGAGGCGGACATCTTTTGTGGACCAAGGACGTGCAAACGTGGAGGCAAAAGCGGCGTGACCTGTCCAAGTTGCTGGTGCGGCTGTGCCGGCACCACGTTCACCCAGTGGGCCGTAAATGACATGTACTGTCCCTGACCGTAGTTACAGCTCCACACGTCGGCGCTGCCGTGCACTTTGGCAGAGACCGACATGCTCAAAGACTGGCCCACCATCTCTTCTACATGTGAATGCAGGGCTGGCACTGCCTTTTTGGCGAAGAAATGACGGCTTGGCACTCTCCACCGCGGCGCGGCACAAGCCATCATTTCTCGGAAAGGTGCTGAGTCCACCACTTGGAAAGGGAGGGACTGCAGCACCAGCAACTTGGACAGGAGGACGTTCAGCTTTTGCACCGTCGGGTGCGTGCTCGCAAACTGTTGTCTCTTGAAACGGATTCCAAGAAAGACTGCTGACGGAATCCGTGAAGAGAGGAGTAGCAGGAGAAGGAGCATCTGAACGAGCGGAAGATGCCAACGAGCGACAACTCCCCTCAGCAGAGGTGTTGGAGCCTTGACTGGCTGATAGAGGGCGATTGACGTCGGGTGACGGAGCAAGTAACGGAGCGGGTGATGGAGCGGGGGCTGGGGCAGGCAGAACCGCCGTATCTTTATCACGGTTTTCCCAGGCCACCAAATGGCGACGCTGACGGCTACGTTTACTTCCTCGGGCGGCTTGACGAAAAATTGCCACACCGCCGAGTAGGAAACTTTGCCCCCGATACTCCTCACTGGCTGACTGCTACTTCCTCCGTGCACACCGGCACCACTACTGGCCGTGGTGGTAGGCTGCAGTGGAGCTGGTGCTCTACTCCGTGGCCGTTTGCCTCCACTGACACTGCTGCGACCCTGCTGCCTCCTGGGCAACCCACCGACTGTTTTGCTCGCTGCCAAGCTGCCACCCTCTTCTCCTGATGATGCGGAAGCAATAGCCTGATGACGACGACTTCGCTTGGTGAGGGAACACCAAAGGACAGGGGAGGTAGAGGACCACGGTGATTTCAGAACTGGGGCTTTGGTCACGGGCCATGCCAAAACTAACGGTTGAGTATGAAGTACCACCGACGTCTGGCTGTAGGGGTGTCAGAGGTGACCTGGAAAGAGCGAAGACGATTCCGAGACCAACCAATCGATGACGGCAGGGTTGTCGGTGGAGGACACGGGACCGCTGGGATGACACCGGGAAGCATGGCCTTGGCTGCGAATGTTTAGTGCTGCTCGACCCCTTCCTCTGCTGCCACGTTTGCTCGCTCTAAAACATTGCCTCCTCTGCCACTCCTCTGCATGTTGTCTGAAATACTCTTTAATTAAACGATTTTTTGTGTCCCTGGAGTTATCTGTTTTCCCGGTCCCCCCTTTCTGGTAACAATTCTGTGTTAGTAAAAAATT